GTCGTAATCATGCTCAAATACTCCTGCAGTACTTCTGTCTCGAGCAGATTGTCAGTGAAGTATTTGCTCAGAGCGGGCGAGGTGGCGTTGGGATGGTTGGAACATTCATTTCACAAATTGACCTCAGAGAAATGAATGCTTGGGATTTTATCATACCAATCAAGGGCAAAAGCAATTTACTTATTTGACAGATTGACCTGAATAATTTACCTGGGCTGGCGTTGAGCAAAGTCGTGATCATGGTCAAATACTCCTGCAGTACTTCTGTCTCGAGCAGGTTGTCAGTGAAGTATTTGCTCAGGGCGGGCGAGGTAGCGTTAGGATGGTTGGAACAGTCGACGAGGTTGGCGTCGCGGTTCAGGCACATACGCATGTAGCGGAGGATCTAGAAATAACGCAAAATGTCAATGAAGAGGACAACTGAAAGGTTATTCCAGGTGGCATCAATAAGAAGTAACTTTATGACCAATCACAGAAAAAAAGACTCATTTACAAAAATAGGTACCCTGTGTTAGTACATATTAGTACATTCTTCCACTGCGCTTGGAAAGCCACCTTGGATAGCGAACAGAGACGGTATGCTACCTCATTTACGACTCGTAGTGCATCTATTTCTTACGCAGAAAGCCTGAGTATTATGATTCCTGAGTTGACTTTTACAATAAAGTTTGATTTTATTTGCTACTGCAAACGTACCACATCTAACTGTGCTAGATGTGCATTCCAGATGGAACATTTTATTTTCATGACGGTAACTACGTAACTACCACAACATTGTATAATTCTTTTGTAATAGAATTCACAAATTATTAAACTTGCCCCTTGCCCTCCAGAAACTTTGAACAAAACGGCCCGTAAAAACAAAACTGAAAACATTTCATTTACTTAAAATGTGACGCTCACCTCTTGATAAGTCATCGGATGAAATTGCAGCACATTGTTACCGATCACAAACCGGTGCTTCGCGTTGGAGCCCTTCTTCCTCTTCTGCATGTGCTCCCAGATGTAGTTTACAACGTCCTTGAAAATACTCTTTCTTACCCATAAAATATTCGCCTCAGCGTGCTATGTCCCATTCTTGAAATGTCCAATTCGCAAATCGACCATTCAATCTAAAAGAGTGCGCGCATGGCTTCGGTTGTATAGTAGATACTTACGTCAAAGATGTATGTATAATGTAATGGACAGAGGGGTTGTGTTCAAACTCGTGCTAACCGTTTATACCTGGTTAGGCACTATAGACATTACACTAACCTCTTGATAAGTCATCGGATGGAACTGCAGCACATTATTACCGATAACAAATCGGTGCTTCGCGTTGGAGCCCTTCTTCCTCTTCTGCATTTGCTCCCAGATGTAGTTCACTACGTCCTTGAACTTGGGCGCCTTAAACTCCTTTTCTTCCGATTCTCTGTCCTTGTCTTTCTTAGCGGAATCCTGAAATATAGGAAAATACAAATACATACATATTAATTTATTTATCAGTAGTCACAATGGTCTATACAATAGCCATTGTAAATAACACTACTCCGGTTTGTTCGTCAAGGGTTAAACACGCATATTTTTTTCTTTTTTATATCAATTCTACGTTCCTAGTCAGCAGCTCGGACGGGATACAACAAAATCTAAGAAAATGGCACTGCTTTGAAGATGGCCAGGCTAACCACATGGCATGTAACTTCACTTACCTCGTCCAAATTGACCGCACTTGTTTCCTTCTTGCTAACGTTGTTCACTACGTCTACAATTTCGCTGAGACGCGACGTTCCGTACAGACATTTCAAAGCTTCGGTCGCGATGTCGTCTTGGCTGAAAATGAGTCCAAAAATTAATGTTTAGGAAAACTTGCAAAATTTTCACCGCAGGCTGGATTGTATACCTAACACGGGAAGTGTTTTAAAAATTTGGTATTAGGCGCGTCCAGTGTTGGGCAAATTGTAATTAACTACTAATTACAAAATTACAATTACTGTATGTAATTGCAATTACCAATTACAAATTAATAATTTTAAAAAGTAATTTCAATTACCAATTACTTTGATGTAATTGTAATTAGAATTACTAAATTACTCAATTACATATGAACAAGGGCCATATAAATAACAGCGATAAGGATTTTTAATTATGTGTTTATTTCTAAATAATGACCCATACTAAACAATATGATGAAATAAAAAGGTGTTTTTATCATCTCTATTCAAAAACAAAAACAGTAATGTATCACAGAATATATAATAGTACTAGGGTACAGAAAATTCACTCCTTAACAAAAGCCGTGATTAGGTATAAAAAGATACCTACTCTCGGCTTAGCCGACCGCCCGCAAGCAAAATTGAAACTTATTACTGCGCGCGAACGGCTCAATCTCCACTGGACGCCGCCGGACAATGACCCGGCCGCGCGCGCTCTCAAAGGGTTGTCACTATAATCGAGTAGGTATTTAATTTATCTGATCAGTAGGTACATAGGTATTCTAGGTAACTACAAGACAAGTATTGCAAGTTTTTTAAATCGAATTTAAATTAAGCTAGCGTAACATTATACAATAGTAAGTACCTACCTACCTACCTACTAATCTTATGAGATGATAGAAAGTGAAGCTTACGCAAAATTGATACCTACCTACCGACTTACCTATCTATTATCACGATATAAATTTGTTCACAGTCTGGTTAGGATTCGAACGACCTGAAGCAAAAGTCGGTCCCAGTCGCAGGTACCTGTACTCTGACCAATGTTAGAAATAAACAAGTATTTGAAAATTATCAAAATACAATTTTAGAAGGAACTTATTTTTCCATCTCCTTCGGAATAACGAAAAAACTTATTTCCGGGTTCTTTTTTATATTGTTCTTACATATATCTACACTGCAGTATTTGCGAGGTCCATGGCTAGCCATTTTTTAGTTTTTAATCCACTTTCGAAACACAAAATAACACTTCTGAAGAAATAACCCGAATACGTACATACGTGCGGTAAATCTCGCGCGCGACAACCGACCGAGATTCGCTCCTTCAGGGAGCAGCCGGGCGGGTAATACCTAAACCGCGGAGTGAAACCCCCCTGATGTATCAAGGATAGGTTGTTGTGCTGCTGATAGTACATGAATCAATACTTAGAATTGCTTGGCCTTTTGCACTCCTTGAACCTTTCGTTTTTTTAGTGTAAGTATATCGGGTTGTAAGGGATCATCGCGTTGTAAGAGTTCATCAGGTCGTACGGGTTCATCGGGTCGTAAGAGTTCATCGGGTTGTTAAAGTTTATCGGGTCGTAAGGTTTCATTGTTCTGGTCGAAAGGGTTCTTATGGTCGTAATGGTTCTTCGGGTCGTCACGGTTCGTTGGGTCGTAAGAGTTCATCGGGTCGTAAGAGTTCATCGGGTCGTAACGGTTCTTCGTGTCGTAAGTGTTCTTCTGGTCGTAAGGGTTCTTCGTGAACTCTTAGGACCCGTTGAACACTTACGACCCGTTGAATCCTTACGACCCGATGAACCCTTACGACCCGAAGGATCCTTGCGACCAGCTGAACCCGTTGAACCATTACAAACCTAACAACCCTTACGACCCGATGGCTGACCTCTAAAGACCCATTGACAAGCAATTCGAAGGGACGAGCCGGCCGAGTCATTATGTACTTATACCTACCTTATAGGCCTGCGTATTTTTCGGTTTTTTGTTTGGCTAGGAACTCGGCCGCCAGCCCAGCGGTTCGCATAGTTCGCGGCAAGTGAGTGGCCGCAAACGTGCACGCACAGGTGGCATCCCACAGTAAAGAGCGTCCTCTTTTCCATGGGATGAGAGTGAGGCCGTCTGGTCTTTTTCCGTCTGCGCGAGACAGACCTGGTGGCTCTAGCACGCACGGTACGTCCACGGACATCAGAGCCCGTCGTATAAGGTCGTTAAGGGCATGGTGTCTGGGGTGTCTGCCTGCGCACAGCCTGCAGCTTAGACCATGGCGACCTCTGTCATCGACCATTGTCCCACACCTGCACAAATGCGGCTCACACACTTTGCACCCGAGTCTCAGTGCCACGGCGATTCTTAGAGAGTTGTTGTCTAGATAAGTGCCTAGATGGGGTGAAGGCAGGGCGTTTAGCCTAGCCCCTGATTCGTGGCAGCAGGCTGCCTTTAGGCGAGCCAGGTCTGCACCGGAAGATGTGTCTATTAATTTTTGGATAGCATCCTTTGCGCAGGGGTCGTCCCAGAGGCGCTGCACGTCAGGTTTGGTAGGCAGTGGTGTGTTAGGGCAAGCTGCGGTCCATGCTGTGAATGCCTCGCTTGCAAATGGGATAGAGAAACCAGCACCGTTTACGGAGAGAATTTGAGTGACTAGTTTCAATACCCTATACCTACAAATTAGTTTAAGTTTTGACTCAAAAATTAGCGATTGAAAACTTAATAATCACCACAAAAACTAGATTTTCAATCATCACTAATTTAGTGACAAAATTATAAGTTTTAATCGTCAAAATTTGTGATTATGCCAATACTGCAATGTATCATACTACAAAATGTAATTGAGTAATTGAATTACGAATTATAATTACTTAATTACATAATTGGAAAAGTAATTGCAATTACTGTTAATTTCAATTACATGTAATTGAATTAAAAGTAGTTCAATTATTAATTAAATTACAAAAGTAATTAATTACGCCCAACACTGGGCGCGTCCACACTGCTCGGGGCTGCTCGGCTTCTCATTGCCTCGCGCGGCAAACGACCAAAAAATTACGTGGCTCATCCGAGGCACTTGGTGTGGACGCGCCTATTCAAAATTAATGTTGTGAAACTATCTGTAAAAAATAGCGGTTTTAACAACCAGCGACTTTGATATTTAGCAACTATGGCATTTTGCATTTTTTACATTCTGCGATTTGCAACTAGACTCATAGGCGTAGTACCGGTGGCAGCAGTGGTCAGTATTTATTAGTTGTGAACTACTAGATGTCGCTTTGAGGCGAGCATCAAGAGGTTGAGAACTTCACCAGGGTCTACTAAGCGCTCGTAGCTCAGTTGGTAGAACGGTGAGACGGTACCCCTCACTGTCCCGGGTTCAAGTCCCGGCGGTCGCTAGTGAATTTTTCAATTTTCTTATTTTCAATTTATGAGAATAATATAGCACTGTGAGGTAATACAGTGGTCAGTATATATAATAATCGATTTAGTTAATTTTTTCACAAATTAAATTGGACTTACTTGTCACCGCTGGCTAACAGTAGAAGGTATCTCGACGGGATGTAGTCCTGCGGGAACACTGACGCTGAATAACGCATCGCGATGTAGCGGATCATTGGGTCGTCGCTGTGCATGTAACTGTCATTGTACTGTATATTATATATGTCACCGTGAAATTGCAAACAACGCTAGATTATAATATATCTCGCTAAATTACAATCTGTCGAAATATTGTAAGACATAAACACGGATCACAATTTAACGTATCAATTTTCAAAATATTACAATATTATGAAGTAAAACAGTAAAACTGTCAACTCGCGTTCTGATTGGTCGAACCTCATGTATATCGCGCAGCCATGTTTATTTGACAGCTGATCGCCATTTCGATGGGTATCGAACGTAAACAAACAGTGCTTAAGAGATTATTTTCTTATTCAATTAGTTTATATGAGCAATTTTCAACACGAAACTATAATAAAATGGAACAAAAACGGTTTGTTTACGCTTGAGAACCAACGAAAGCAATCAGCTGTGAAACAAAGATGGCGTCGTTGGCGACATGATGCTCGACTTGACCAATCAGAACGCGAGCTGCGTAATCGTATCACAGTTTCACGGATTTAGTTCGTTATATTGTAATCTACTGAAAAATTATACGTTAAATTGGAATACGAGTGAATGTGTTACAGTATTTCGACAGATTATAATTTAGCAAGATAGATTATAATCCAGCGTTATATCCAATTTTACGGTGACATATATAACAAGACGAACTTACTTGTCACCACTTGCCAGAAGCAGCAGATATCTGGACGGGATGTAGTCCTGCGGGAACACTGACGCAGAGTAGCGCATCGCGATGTAGCGGATCATTGTGTGTCGCTGTGCATGTAACTGTCATTGTACTGTATATAACAAGAGACACTTACTTGTCACCACTTGCCAGAAGCAGCAGATATCTGGACGGGATGTAGTCCTGCGGGAACACTGACGCAGAGTAGCGCATCGCGATGTAGCGGATCATTGGGTCGTCGCTGTGCATGTAACTGTCATTGTACTGTATATAACAAGAGACACTTACTTGTCACCACTTGCCAGAAGCAGCAGATATCTGGACGGGATGTAGTCCTGCGGGAACACTGACGCAGAGTAGCGCATCGCGATGTAGCGGATCATTGTGTGTCGCTGTGCATGTAACTGTCATTGTACTGTATATAACAAGAGACACTTACTTGTCACCACTTGCCAGAAGCAGCAGATATCTGGACGGGATGTAGTCCTGCGGGAACACTGACGCAGAGTAGCGCATCGCGATGTAGCGGATCATTGTGTGTCGCTGTGCATGTAACTGTCATTGTACTGTATATAACAAGAGACACTTACTTGTCACCACTTGCCAGAAGCAGCAGATATCTGGACGGGATGTAGTCCTGCGGGAACACTGACGCAGAGTAGCGCATCGCGATGTAGCGGATCATTGGGTCGTCGCTGTGCATGTAACTGTCATTGTACTGTATATAACAAGAGACACTTACTTGTCACCACTTGCCAGAAGCAGCAGATATCTGGACGGGATGTAGTCCTGCGGGAACACTGACGCAGAGTAGCGCATCGCGATGTAGCGGATCATTGTGTCGTCGCTGTGCATGTAACTGTCATTGTACTGTATATAACAAGAGACACTTACTTGTCACCACTTGCCAGAAGCAGCAGATATCTGGATGGGATGTAGTCCTGCGGGAACACTGACGCAGAGTAGCGCATCGCGATGTAGCGGATCATTGTGTGTATGTAACTGTCATTGTACTGTATATAACAAGAGACACTTACTTGTCACCACTTGCCAGAAGCAGCAGATATCTGGACGGGATGTAGTCCTGCGGGAACACTGACGCAGAGTAGCGCATCGCGATGTAGCGGATCATTGGGTCGTCGCTGTGCATGTAACTGTCATTGTACTGTATATAACAAGAGACACTTACTTGTCACCACTTGCCAGAAGCAGCAGATATCTGGACGGGATGTAGTCCTGCGGGAACACTGACGCAGAGTAGCGCATCGCGATGTAGCGGATCATTGGGTCGTCGCTGTGCATGTAACTGTCATTGTACTGTATATAACAAGAGACACTTACTTGTCACCACTTGCCAGAAGCAGCAGATATCTGGACGGGATGTAGTCCTGCGGGAACACTGACGCAGAGTAGCGCATCGCGATGTAGCGGATCATTGGGTCGCCGCTGTGCATGTAACTGTCATTGTACTGTATATAACAAGAGACACTTACTTGTCACCACTTGCCAGAAGCAGCAGATATCTGGACGGGATGTAGTCCTGCGGGAACACTGACGCAGAGTAGCGCATCGCGATGTAGCGGATCATTGTGTGTCGCTGTGCATGTAACTGTCATTGTACTGTATATAACAAGAGACACTTACTTGTCACCACTTGCCAGAAGCAGCAGATATCTGGACGGGATGTAGTCCTGCGGGAACACTGACGCAGAGTAGCGCATCGCGATGTAGCGGATCATTGTGTCGCCGCTGTGCATGTAACTGTCATTGTACTGTATATAACAAGAGACACTTACTTGTCACCACTTGCCAGAAGCAGCAGATATCTGGACGGGATGTAGTCCTGCGGGAACACTGACGCAGAGTAGCGCATCGCGATGTAGCGGATCATTGGGTCGTCGCTGTGCATGTAACTGTCATTGTACTGTATATAACAAGAGACACTTACTTGTCACCACTTGCCAGAAGCAGCAGATATCTGGACGGGATGTAGTCCTGCGGGAACACTGACGCAGAGTAGCGCATCGCGATGTAGCGGATCATTGTGTGTCGCTGTGCATGTAACTGTCATTGTACTGTATATAACAAGAGACACTTACTTGTCACCACTTGCCAGAAGCAGCAGATATCTGGACGGGATGTAGTCCTGCGGGAACACTGACGCAGAGTAGCGCATCGCGATGTAGCGGATCATTGGGTCGTCGCTGTGCATGTAACTGTCATTGTACTGTATATAACAAGAGACACTTACTTGTCACCACTTGCCAGAAGCAGCAGATATCTGGACGGGATGTAGTCCTGCGGGAACACTGACGCAGAGTAGCGCATCGCGATGTAGCGGATCATTGTGTGTCGCTGTGCATGTAACTGTCATTGTACTGTATATAACAAGAGACACTTACTTGTCACCACTTGCCAGAAGCAGCAGATATCTGGACGGGATGTAGTCCTGCGGGAACACTGACGCAGAGTAGCGCATCGCGATGTAGCGGATCATTGGGTCGTCGCTGTGCATGTAACTGTCATTGTACTGTATATAACAAGAGACACTTACTTGTCACCACTTGCCAGAAGCAGCAGATATCTGGACGGGATGTAGTCCTGCGGGAACACTGACGCAGAGTAGCGCATCGCGATGTAGCGGATCATTGTGTGTCGCTGTGCATGTAACTGTCATTGTACTGTATATAACAAGAGACACTTACTTGTCACCACTTGCCAGAAGCAGCAGATATCTGGACGGGATGTAGTCCTGCGGGAACACTGACGCAGAGTAGCGCATCGCGATGTAGCGGATCATTGTGTCGTCGCTGTGCATGTAACTGTCATTGTACTGTATATAACAAGAGACACTTACTTGTCACCACTTGCCAGAAGCAGCAGATATCTGGACGGGATGTAGTCCTGCGGGAACACTGACGCAGAGTAGCGCATCGCGATGTAGCGGATCATTGTGTCGTCGCTGTGCATGTAACTGTCATTGTACTGTATATAACAAGAGACACTTACTTGTCACCACTTGCCAGAAGCAGCAGATATCTGGACGGGATGTAGTCCTGCGGGAACACTGACGCAGAGTAGCGCATCGCGATGTAGCGGATCATTGGGTCGTCGCTGTGCATGTAACTGTCATTGTACTGTATATAACAAGAGACACTTACTTGTCACCACTTGCCAGAAGCAGCAGATATCTGGATGGGATGTAGTCCTGCGGGAACACTGACGCAGAGTAGCGCATCGCGATGTAGCGGATCATTGTGTGTATGTAACTGTCATTGTACTGTATATAACAAGAGACACTTACTTGTCACCACTTGCCAGAAGCAGCAGATATCTGGACGGGATGTAGTCCTGCGGGAACACTGACGCAGAGTAGCGCATCGCGATGTAGCGGATCATTGTGTCGCTGTGCATGTAACTGTCATTGTACTGTATATAACAAGAGACACTTACTTGTCACCACTTGCCAGAAGCAGCAGATATCTGGACGGGATGTAGTCCTGCGGGAACACTGACGCAGAGTAGCGCATCGCGATGTAGCGGATCATTGTGTGTCGCTGTGCATGTAACTGTCATTGTACTGTATATAACAAGAGACACTTACTTGTCACCACTTGCCAGAAGCAGCAGATATCTGGACGGGATGTAGTCCTGCGGGAACACTGACGCAGAGTAGCGCATCGCGATGTAGCGGATCATTGTGTGTCGCTGTGCATGTAACTGTCATTGTACTGTATATAACAAGAGACACTTACTTGTCACCACTTGCCAGAAGCAGCAGATATCTGGACGGGATGTAGTCCTGCGGGAACACTGACGCAGAGTAGCGCATCGCGATGTAGCGGATCATTGGGTCGTCGCTGTGCATGTAACTGTCATTGTACTGTATATAACAAGAGACACTTACTTGTCACCACTTGCCAGAAGCAGCAGATATCTGGACGGGATGTAGTCCTGCGGGAACACTGACGCAGAGTAGCGCATCGCGATGTAGCGGATCATTGTGTCGCCGCTGTGCATGTAACTGTCATTGTACTGTATATAACAAGAGACACTTACTTGTCACCACTTGCCAGAAGCAGCAGATATCTGGACGGGATG